TACAAAAAGAATCAGAAAAAGTTACTCTGCAACCTAAATCTTTGATCAAATTCTTTACCAATATCAAATTAACAGTTAAACGTGGTATATGAAGCACATTCTTTAAAGTAATGTTTGAATTTATCTTGATGTCTCCTTGACCAGCTACTGTTACCAAGGTACCATATGCTGTAGAAATTTTCTTATTGCTCGGACAAATACTGTAAGAGATAAAATGACAGCTACTATTCGTCATATGGTCTGTTGCACCAGAATCAATAATCCAGGTACAAAGTTTAGGCTGGGAAGTTGTACTCGTCAAAGTTACCGAACCTGTACCTTGACTAGGAGCATTATCCAAAGTTTTTAAGAAGCTCCTTAATTGTTTGATCTCATTTATGTCCAAGTTTTTTGTAATTTTGGACGACTGTGACATTGATACTAAGACTAAACTGCAACTCAAAAATGGAGATCCAAAACTGAAAAAACAGTACTGTACCGAATCGAAAAAGGGCTGAACCGAATCAAAAATAGTTGAATTGAACCAAATCTGATTGAAACGAACTGAAACCTGTCGAAACGATCGACAATGAACTGAACTGGACTGAAAAACACTGAACCAAACTGGACGAGCCGGGTTGACTGGACCGGACGTAACAGGAAAGGACGACGGCGGCAACGGTGGTGGCGACGAATAAAACTGGTGACGGTGACTGTTGTCGGTGACGAAAGACGGCGAGACGAAACCCACGAACAGCACTCGAAAAACAGCAGCTCTGGCGAATCAGCAAACGGTGGCCGGAGGTGGCCGGCGGCGGTCGGCGGTTGTCGGTGGTGGCCGGCGGTGGTTAGCAGCGGTCGGCGGTGGCTGTGAGTTGAGCGGCGGCAGTAATAAACAAAATCGACAAAAAAAACCTAATGGGCACAAAACCCTAATGAGTATAAAAACTAAGTTAAAAAATTTTTTTTGAAGAAACCTAGAGGTCTCTGATACCATGTTAATAATAAGAAAAGAAAATAATTCTTCCTTAATTACTCTAAATGATTGATACAAGGCTATTTAAATAGCAGTCACAAAGAAGAAACTAAAAAGAAATTCTTGCCTATTAGGACAAGGAAATACTTACCTATTAGGACAATAAAACCCTAACCTAAATAAAATAGGAAACATTTAAAATAAAATAAACTCTAATTTAACGGATCACGATAGAAGAAAGCTGGAGTTGCAAATTTCAATTGAGTACAAGGAGTGAGTAGATGTTTATGCTAAAATTTTTGCCAAGTATAGAGGCTTCGGTCACGAAGATGAGCGGGAAGTTAAAAATATTGAAGATGATCTCTTGAAGGTTAGAGAATTTTGCTGAAAAGATGGAGTTTCGGGCCCTCCTAAGATGGTTTTCTGGTGGTGAAATTTCTGTCATTATTCTAGCTTTATGGGAATGGTTAAGAATCCTTCGCCGCATTTGTCAAAGGTTTTGGTCATCAAAGTTGTATGCTCTAGTATCTTCTGACTTTGTACGCATCCTTTGGTTGTTTTTTCATTTTTTTTGGCTTTACATTGCTTTCTTTCACACCTTGTGAATTTGTGAAAAAAAATACTTCCTCAAAATGAAATTTTAATATTGCCCACTGACTAACCACTAAACAAAACTAAACCAGGAAAACACTCAAAAAAATCAAGCCACAGAGTAAGCCATAGAATAAGCAGGTTAAAAGGTACCCAAATTTAGCAACAAAAAAGTCCAAATCCAACTAAAAGCAACACAATTAAAAAAACTAGAACCCACAAACAAGTTTTATCCAGTCACATATATTTTTTTTTTAAGAACATAAAATTTAACTAATTGAGGTTCCAATCGAATTATTTATTCAAATTTAGGGTTAAATTTGACAAAATTGATAGTTTAAGATTAAAATTGACTCATTGAGCCATGATTTTGTCCAATGTTGAAAATTTAGTTGAGAACAAACTTAGAAATATTTTTATCCTTCCAAGAGTATGTTAAACAATCTAGGTCTCATTCCCAGAACTCATGATCTGAAATCATCTTTTATCTTTTTCTTATGTTTGGCATTTTATTGGAAGTTCTTTGAACATCGACTAAAACTGTAGGTGCCATTATTTGATGTGCTCAAGTTGCAATGAGAAAACCCATTCTTGTTTTTGGGCACCTTCAAAGCTATTGGGATGGCTAATTTATTGCAGATGCATATGAGTTCTCTCTGTTTGAGCTCAATCACTATCTTGTCTATTTTTTTTTTAATTTTATTTATTTATTTTTTTTTGCAGCTAAGTTCTTGAAGCTGGAGCAATTAGATCAGGATCTAGGCGTTCCTCCAGATACAATTGGAGTTTCAATTGATGGTACTGGTCAAGTTGGGACCTACTTTTACACAGCACCTGAAATTGAACAAGGATGGCCAAAGATTGATGAAATGGTAAGTTTCTACTTAGGTTCACGCTCACCTTGTGACAGTGTCTGGATTGAATCTGTTGGCAATATGTTTTCCTGTAGCTGTTCTGGTTGGTTGATGTTGGGTCTCTGTGCATTACAGGCTGATATGTACAGTTTAGGTATTGTGTTTTTTGAACTCTGGCACCCTTTTGGAACTGCGATGGAAAGGCACCTTGTTCTATCTGATCTGAAGCAGAAAGGAGAGATTCCAAATGCTTGGATTGCTGAATTTCCTGAACAAGCGTCCTTGTTACGACGTTTAATGTCTCAAAGTCCATCCGAACGTCCTTCGGCCTTGGAACTTCTCCAGCATGCTTTTCCTCCAAAAATGGAGTATCAATTATTAGACAGTAAGTTGTTTATTATTAGTTTGAAATCTTTGGTGAAGTAACTCAAGTATGACCTCCATGTTACTTGTAAGACTTTTTTTTTTGTTTGTTTGTTGAACAAGAAACAATTTTTTATTGATAAAATGAAAAAAAAAGCTTAGGATACAAGCTCTCGAAGGAGCAAGAGAAAAAGAAAAAAGCAAAACAAGAAAAGGACAAACTCAACAAGGAGTGATAACATTAAAGATTACTTTTTCTTTTGTTGGCTAAGGAATAAGTTTCTTTAATTTTTTTTTATTAGAGAAACAAGCCTTAATTACTAGATTTTTTGATACCAGCAAGCATAGAACTATTAGAAAAAAACATCATTCAATCTCTCTTTCTGGACTTGGACTGTATTAATTGAAGCTAAATGCAAAAGTAGTCATCAGAACTAACCAGTAACTACAGCCTCTACCAACCAGTCCAGCCTCCAAATATTTTTGTAACTACTCTCGTATTAAACAATTGGAGATCCTTTTTTAACCCCTTTGGTCCTTTCTATATTTCATCTATGTCAATGAAATAGTTTTTATCAAAGAGAAAAAGGAGAAAAAAGAAAGGCTACTATTAGTTAAATACTAGCATTGGTAATACCACAAAGTAGGGTATATACAAAGATCATGTAAACCTACATCAATTATGGATGATAATGCCAAATCACTTGGAAATATATGCTCTATCTGCTCTTGCAAGATTAGTAGGCAGCGAATGGATTTTATTATTAAAAACTAGTGCAAACATTTCTTAGAAGTTGTTAGTAGTGCCCACACTTTTAGGAGTTATGTTGAGTTCCCAATAAAACCTAGTGCAAACATTTCTTAGTTGTTGGCAGTCCGGGGAGAGGGTCCGTCAATTTATTTGGGGCTTACTCGTTCCTTAACGGGGAATCGTTAGAGGTTTCTATGTTACTTGATCTATTGTCCGGAGCTTCCTTCCTTTATAGGAGGGAGGATGTGAGGGTGTGGTCCCCCAACCCTTCGAAAGCTTTTTCTTGTGGCTCCTTCTTCCATATCCTGAACTACCCGTCTTCTTCTTCTTCTCCTTCTTCCTCTTCCCCGTTGACCCCTTGGTTTACCTTTCTTTGGAAGATTAAAATTCCAAAGAAGATTAAGTTCTTTGGGTGGCAAGTCTTCCTTCGAAAAGTCAATACCATGGATCGTATTCAGAGGATGTCTTCCTTTTGTATGGGCCTACAGTGGTGTGTTCTTTGTAGGAGGGCTTCGGAAGATCTCGAGCATTTGTTGTGGACCTGTCAGTTTGCAGGATTTATGACTTCGGTTCTTTAGATGTTTTGGGATTATCTGGATTCGTTCCAGAGATTGTAGGGCAATAATGTAGGAAGTGCTGTTATTCCCCTCTTTTCGTGACAAGGGTCGTTTTCTTTGGCAGGCGTGTTTTCTGGCTACTTTATGGGGTATCTGGCTGGAGAGAAACTGTTTAGAGGGTGGAGAAAAATGTGGACTATGTTTGGGATCTCATTAGGTTTAATATCTCTTTATGGGGATCGTTCACTAAGGCTTTTTGTAATTATCAGTCAGGCCTCGTTCTTTTGTATTGGAGCCCTTTTCTTTTGGGGGTTCCCTCTTGTAGGGCAGTTTTTTTTATGCCCTACTTGTTTTTGTATCTTTTTTCATTTCTTTCAATGAAAGCGCAATTTCTTATAACAAAAAAAACAAAAAAAGAAAACTTTTGGAGTTTATGTTGAGTTCCCTAATTTGAGATCCCTGGAAGAAGATTAAGTTGGCTCTTGTGAACAACTTGATACACCATCTCTTATCCCTTTGAGCATAGTGGGTCAAAACAAAGGAAAATCTATGGACGGAGCCTATTGTCTTCACCCTAAAGGAACTACGAGGTCGCCTAAGGATGACTTCGTTATCCAGGGGTCCTAGTGCTTGGAGTTATTCTTGTATTGTGTGAGTGTAAATTGAGAGTTTTCATGATCAGCGGAGTAGTGCCTTTGGTTGGAGAGATTATTAGGGAGAGTGGTCTAAGGCAGTGGTTTGTGGGTTAGTTATTTATTTCTCTATAAATACCTGTAACATTTTCATTTCATTAAATAGAAGTCTTATCTTTTGTACAATTTTTCTCTTGATTTCATTCTGTTCCTTTTTGTTTGTTACCCTTAATTTGATAAGGGAAAACTAAAGTCTCACTTGATTACTACAAATGATTGATACAAGGCTATATAAATAGCAGTCACAAAGAAGAAACTAAAAGGAAATTCTTGTCTGTTAGGATAAGGGAAACACTTACCTATTAGAACAAGAAAACCCTAACCTAAATAAAATAGGAAACCTTTCAAATAAAATAAACTATAATTTAACACTCCCCCTCAAGTTGGTGAATGAATATTTTCTGTTCCCAATTTGTTAATCAAATGCTCAAAGTTGTTGTTCAATCATGTTGTAAGAATATTTGCTATTTGATTGTTTTTTGGTACAAATGGAGTACATATGAGGCGGCTATCTAACTTCTCTTTCATGAAGTGTCTATCAACTTCAACATGCTTGGTTCTATCATGTTGAACTAGATTATGTGCAATACTGATGACAGACTTGTTATCACAATAAAGTTTCATAGGCCCTTCCCATGGAATCTTCAAATCTTCTAAATCTTTATCCAGAGTAATTCACAGATACCTAATGCGATTGCTCTAAATTCTGCTTCTGAACTTGATCTTGCAACTACATTCTGCTTTTTGCTTCTCCATGTCACTAAGTTTCCACCCAAGAAAGTACAATAGGCAGAAGTTGATTTCCTATCATTTATCCATCCTCAATAATCTGCATCTGTATAAACTTCTAGATTGAGTTTCTCGCTTTTCTTAAATAGTCATCCTCTTTCAATAGATTTCTTCAAATAGTGAAGTATTCAGTATACTGCTTGAAGGTGGACTTCTTTTGGACTATGCATAAATTGATTCACCACTCCTACAGCATACATAATATCTGGTCTTGTATGAGAAAGATATATTAATTTTCCAACTAACCTCTGGTAAGTTTCCTTATTTACTGGGGGACTCTTTTTAGCTGCACACAATCTATGGTTTTGATTAATTGATGTTCCCGTTGGTCTGCTACCAAGCTTTCCTGTTTCAGAAAGTAAGTCAATCACATATTTCTGTTGTAATAAGAATATGCCTTGTTTAGAATAGGCTACTTCTGTCCCAAGAAAATATTTCAGTCTTTCCAGTTTTTTAACCTCAAATTCTTGGATTAAACAATTTTTCAGTTTATCTTGCTCATTATTATCATTGCCAATGACGATAATATCGTCCACATAAACAAGGAATGTTGTTACTCCCCCATAGTAGAATGTTTTATAAACAATGAATGATCTCCTGGACTTTGTTTATAGCCCATCTTTCTCATAGCCTGAGAAAATCTACCAAACCATGCCTTGGGAGATTGTTTTAATCCATAAAATGCTTTTTTCAATTTACAAACTTTATTTCCTTCTTGCTCATGTCCCAGTGGAATTTCCATATAAATTTCCTCTTCTAGATTGCCATGCAGAAAAGCATTTTTAACGTCATATTGTAACATGTCCCATCCATGATTGACAGCGAGGGATAGAAGTATTCGTACTGTGTTCATCTTGGCAACAAGTGCAAATGTTTCAAGATAATCAACTCTATATGTTTGAGTATATCATTTTACAACTAACCATGCTTTATACCTCTCAAGTATTCCATCAGCTTTATATTTCAGAGTATATACCCATTGACAACCTACTACTTTATTATCTTTAGGCATAGTAACCAACTCCCATGTTCTGTTTTTCTCTAAAGCCTGCATTTCAAGATTCATTGCTTGTCTCCATTCTTCATGTTGTATTGCCTCCATGTATGTTTTTGGAATATTTACTTGAGTAAGGTTTACCATAAAACTTGATGTAGCCGTTTGGGGCTTTGGGTAGTTTTAAAGACATGATCTTAGTTTATAGTTATAAGCCTCTTTTACTGTGTAGTAACTTCAAGTTACTATTAGTTGTTTGTTAGCTTGTATTCCTCTATAAATAGGGATCATCTTCATTTTAACAAAGATAGATTGAGATTTTCTTACTTTCATCARGAGAGTCTTCATCAAATTGGTATCAGAGCTCCCAAAACATTTCTGGGCACTCGATGGCAAGAAAGAAACGAACGATGGGAGACAATTCTTCCATAACAAGGAAAGAAGCGAACCAGCTAGCCGTTCTCTCACCACGGGCAGTCACCAAACGCTTGCAGTTGGTTGACGGAGAGATCAAGAATCTACAAAGTGATGTGGGTGAGATTAAGCAAATACTGGGGATGATTCACCAGCAATTAGAGGCGCTAAATGTAAACCAGAATTCAGCAAAGAATGACCAACCTCTGCCTCCAAGAATCAGCCAAGATATTCGGAAGGATGATAGACAGGGTATTCGTATCCAAGAAAGGCTGCTAGCACCTCAAAGATTCCATCAAGAAAGGGGGCAAGATTATAGCGGGGGTCCAAGATTACATCAAGATTATCATCAGTATCATCAAGAAGTTAATCTCAACCCTCTGTTCCAAAGACGCCAAGACTTTTACCTGGATTTTTCAAGCGACGAAGAAGATGATTACTTGGAGATGGATGACAACCAACAGGGATTTCAAAGGAGGCAGGTTAGACACCACGATGCATCCGATTTTAAGATGAAGATCGACCTCCCAACCTTCAGCGGCAAGAAGGAAATTGAGGGATTCATGGAGTGGGTTCGGAACGTGGAAGGTACATCTTGTTGCTTTTAAACTCAAGGGTGGCGCATCTGCATGGTGGGATCAATTAGAGGTCAATCAACAACGATATGGTAAGTGCCCTATTAGGACTTGGGAACGTATGAAAAAACTAATGAGGGAACGATTCCTTCCCGTCAATTTTGAGCAGATTTTATATAATCAGTATCAAAATTGTCGACAAGGAACTCGTTCAATAGCTGACTATACGGAGGAGTTCCATCGACTAGGCGCAAGAGCAAATCTTTTGGAAAGCCAGCAGTATTTGGTTGCAAGGTTTGGTACTATTAGTTGTTTGTTAGCTTGTATTCCTCTATAAATAGGGATCATCTTCATTTTAACAAAGATAGATTGAGATTTTCTTACTTTCATCGGGAGAGTCTCCATCAAATCTTCTATATTGACTTGAGAGTTTGTCATAGGATACAAAGTGAGATAATGGATATTGAGTAGAAGTTCGTTTTCCCTTCCTCAAAGCAATAGGCAAATCCATATCTGATTCATCATTAGTGGATACTATAATGTCAGACTCATTACGGACATTTTCCTCGTCAATTTCAGTTCCAGAGATATGTTCAGACTCTTGGACTTGCTTATCTTTTTCAATGTTCCTTTCTGAATAAACCTGTACTGGCATAGTAGTAGGAGGGTTAGATGACTCTGATGGTGTGTCTACAGATGAAGAAGGTTGGTTGGGGTCAATTCCAGTAGGGTTTGGTATAGTTTACGGTAAAGAGGAAAAATAAGATTAGGAATAGGTAAATTCTTATCTTCCAACAATATTTCCTCCCCTTGAAGATATGGCGAAGTAAAGAAGCTAGCATCTTCATAAAGGGTAACATCGGCAGAGATGAAATACCTTTTAGAAGAAGGATGGTAGCATTTATATCCCTTTTGAGTGTTCAAGTATCCAACAAAAATACATTTGAGTGCTCGTGGATCAAGTCTACCTCGTTGATGACTATGAACGTGAACAAAAACTACGCAACCAAATACTCGAGGAATCAAGTTATTTGTTGTGCGGAAGTTAGGGTAAAATTTTGATAGGATATTCATGGGAGTTTTTTGATTTAGAGTAGAGATGGTAATAGATTGATTAAGTGGCTGTTAATATAGCTTCCCCCTAGAAGGATTTAGGAACATTTCTTTGAAAAAGAAGGGCACAGGTCACAGAAAGGATGTGACCAATTTTTCTTTCGGCCACCCCATTTTGTTGAGGAGTTTCCACACGAGACGACTCATGAATAACTCCATGTTTTTGAAAGAATGATGTTAAGGTTTGGTTGAAGTAATCTCAAGCATTGTCAGAACGAAATCGTTTGGGTTGGATTCCAAATTGATTTTTGATCATATGGAAGAATATTTGAATGGTAGAACCAACGTCAGATTTTTGTTTTAAAAGATGAACCCATGAAACCCTAGTACAGTCATCGATGAATACAATAAACCAATGAAATTTGGAAGTATTTGGTACGTTGGAGGGGCCCCAAACATCACTATGAATAAGAGAGAGAAACTGAAATTCGTTTATTATTGCTAGGAAATGGAACACGCTTGTGTTTAGCAAATTCACAAATGTCACACTGAATTGAATCAAAATTAAAATTCTGGAACAAATCTGGAAATAAAATCTTAAGAGATCTAAATGAGGGATGTCCTAACCTATAACGATACAACCAAAAATTATTTAAAGAATGATGAGTTTGTGAGGAAACTAAGACTTGAACATCTTTCCCAACACTATCTAGACCAATAGGTGTATCAAGATAATAAAGTCCGTCTTTTTCTTTAGCAAGTCCAATCGTCTTCCCATTGTCCTGGACCTGGAAAATACAAGAAGAGAAAAAGGTTTCTCGACATCCCAAATCTTTGATCAAATTTCTTATTGATATCAAATCAACAGTTAAACGGGGTATATAGAGCACATTTTTTAAGGTAATGTTTGAATTTAGTTGGATGACTCCTTGACCAGCCACTATTAATAGAGTACCATCTGCGGTAGATATTTTTTTATTGCTCGGACAAGGACTATAGGAGATAAAATGACAGCTACTCTTTGTCATAGCACCAGAGTAAATAGTCCAAGTAGAGAGTTTAGAGTGTAAAGTTGTACCTGAAAAGGCTACCGAACATGTACGTTGATTAGGATTCTTTTTTAAGGTTTCCAAAAAACTTCATAGCTTTTCAATCTCATCTGTGTTTAGTTCTCCTTTTTCAAAACTCTCTTCTGTCACAATGCCTTTCTGACTTGATGAAATGTGAGCTTGGCTATGTCCTTTATTTGCACTACCTTTATTCGACCAATTTTTGGAATTTGAATTCTGATAGTTTGCAGGTTTTCCATGTAGCTCCCAACATTTATCCTTGGTGTGCCCAAGTTTCTTGCCATAAGTGCATACTACACGGCTCTATTTCCTGATTTTCCTCCATCCCAATTGTTAGCTCCTGTATGTGTACTATTTTCTACCTCAGTCATTTTAGTACCTCCTATTTTCATGACCGATTCTTCTGTTTGTGGTTCCAACATAATACTACGACGAGATTCTTCACTTCTAATTACGGTAATAACCTCATTTAGGGATGAGGGATCTTTGCCCAAAATTTGTATTCGAACATAATCAAATTCTACATTGAGACCTGCAAGAAAAGTATAAATTCGGTCTTTTTCGACAAACTTTTTTAGAGTAGCAGCATCCTCAGTACATTTCATGTCAATTCATTGATAGTAATCCAATTCTTGCCATAAGCTTTGAAGAATTGTAGAATATTCTGTCACTGTTTAATTACTTTGTTTTGTTCCAAAGATACGAGTTTTGATATCAAATATTTGTGCATCGTCTTTTACTTTGGAATAAGTTTGTTTCATTGTTTCCCATATGTCCTTTGCGATCTTAAGAAACATACATGTATCACTAACAATCGGAGTCATGGAATTCCATAACCAAGACATGATAATTGAATCTTCTTCATCCCACACGTCGAACTTTGGATCTTCTGGTTTGGGTCTTTTCCCAGTAATGTGGTTCAATTTTCCTTTTCCTTTTAAGAACGTTTGAACAAGTTGAGACCATTTTAAATAATTTTTTCCATCCAATCTATAACTAGGGTGGATGTATTGTAGGTCTCCCGTGGAAGATTTATAATTTTCTTCCCTAATAGTTTCGTGTTAGACTTTGATTTTAGGAAAAAAACAAGTAAGGACCAAACTAAGCAAAATTGGACCAAACCAAGTAGAATCAAACCAGAAAAAGGTTGAACCAGACCAGAATTAGATCAAATCGGGCTGAAACTGAACCAATATGAACCGGATCGAGCAAAACCGAACTGAACCGAAAACTGTGAACCGAACCAAACAATATTTAGTTCTCTTTTGAAAGCCTAGCCGCAACCGCCACTCTTTGAGAGAGAAATTTAGTTCTCTTTTGAAACCCTAGCCGCCACTCTTTGAAAGAGAAATACCTAGCGTCCACGAACACAAAAAATCTGACGACCACGAATGGCACACCCAAAACCCGATGACGGCTTTTAACGATGACTCCAACGATTGAACAACTGGCGGCGAACAAGACCTCGGTGGAAAAAACGGCGATCGAACAGTTGCGGCGATGCAGACTTAGAAAGGTGGTGACAGCGGCGTATGAATAGTGACGACGACGATGGCTGAATGATGGAAGAAATCCACGAACAGGAAAGAAACGGGTCCAGAAAACAGTAACGGAAGAAACCCAGGAACAAGAAAATAGTCGAGATGAAGGCCAATCAACAAAGAAGCCTCACGGCTCTGATAACATGTTAATTTGATAAGGGAAAAATAATTCTCACTTGATTACTACAAATGATTGATACAAGGCTATATAAAAAGCAATCACAAAGAAGAAACTAAAAGGAAATTCTTGCCTATTAGGATAAGGGCAACACTTACCTATTAGAACAAGAAAACCCCAACCTAAATAAAATAGGAAACCTTTAAAATAAAATAAACTATAATTTAACAGTTACATTAGTATATGTGATCCTCAATAAATAGGCCTTCTTATCTATGAAGAGTCTTCTCTCTCTCTTTTTTTACCTTTCTTTTTTAGGAAACTTATATTTCATTGAAGGTATGAAATATTACAAAAATTAATGCGGAGAAACAACCCCCTAAATAAAGCAATCCTAATTCCTATCAAAGACATTTTTTTTTTTTGACATTTATCAAAGACAATTGAATATATAAAACTTTTTTTTTTCCCTCAAGAAGCAAAACTTTTCATTGATGTATCAAAATGAACAAAAATCGTTCAAAGATACAAACTCTCGAAAGCGTGAAGAAAGTGATAAATAGAGAAAAAAATAAAACCAGCCACAGAGGATAAATGAAAGAAAAAAGTATATTTCTTCAGTTTATTGTATTTGATGTTGATTGGCGAGCTTGATTGAGCAGTTTTCCTCCATGCCTAGACATTCTGCGGACGATGAAAACATCAGAGGACTCAAGTATATATGATAGAGTTGTTAATGCTATTTTCGATGAAGAGACATTAGTGACAAAAGGTGACCAACATGATTGTGGTACTGCCTCTATCCAGTACACAGATTTGGGCACTGAGGTTCGTGATCATGTTATTGATGTCACAAGGGAGATGTTCAGACTGCACTGTGCAAAGCATTTGGAAATTAGCCCCATGTATTTGTTGGATGGCTCTGAGCAAATTAATAGGTTCATGCTTAATTGAACTAGTATTTTCTTAAGAAAATTTTTAGTTTACTTCTTACATGTTAGAGTTGGCTAATCTTTTCATACAAATTTTGAAGGAACACGGTCAAAATTTTGACTCATGGAGGAGATATACTTGAACTCTGTCATGAGCTGCGTTTACCTTTTCTTAATTGGATTGTCTCTAGTCAGGTATTTGCTGCCTACTATGTTGGTTCTAGATGTTTTCTTTATCAATTTTTTTTCCTATAATTTTTTAATTCCTTCCAAGTTATATGATATTGAACAACTTCTGTATCTAATTTTTTAAGTCTAGTAGGTAATATCTTTTTTCCCTATCGCAATTCTTGCGCCTCTTGTTTTAATTCATAAGTTGTAACTAGTTGGCGTTGAAGAAATAAATTTGGCGCCAAGCAGCTCCCTTTATTTTCTGTAGACGGTAATTTCAGATAAACATGTGAAAAATTGAAGAATGGATGAAAAGAACTGTAGAAGAGTTCTATGATTGACGGAAATAGTGTTATGAAATTGACTCTGAAGATTGCATCATACTTCTTTATGTAACTAATCATAAGGTCTATATTTCATTTTGCTTATTACTTGTTTTAATTTCGATGTGTCTGTTATTTTCATAAAACTTCATGATGTACTTTTTGTGGAATGTGATTAAACTATTAATTTTCTGTTATAGAAATCTTCATTTAAACGATATGATATATCGTGCGTTTATAGAAGAGCAATTGGGCATTCACCTCCAAACCGATACCTTCAGGTACATTTTTCAGGTCGTGTGTGTGATTGGTTGTTAATATTTTGTTTTTGTTTCAATTATTACTTTGAGAAAACTTGTTTTTTTAGCATTGAGTTATGTTTTGGTTACAAATTAGCCACGAGGAAGTAGATTTATTGGGTGACATTAAACCTCTCGTTCATTTTATAGATGTTGGGAGGAAAATGTGCAACTCGTGTAAGTCTAGTAAACAGGAACTTTGTTATAGTGGTTGGGGTCTGGGAAGAGGGGTCAGGTAGACATTTTGGATAGATATTGTTAGTAAAATTATGGAAAGTGTGTGTGAATCAGTAGGATGTAAGGTAGGGATGTGGGATGAAGTCAGCAGGTTCCTACGAGGGCTTATCTGGGAGTTCTGCGGAGATAGGAACATGTGAACCTTGCTCGTACTCTAGTAAAGTCTCTTGTATCAGGAATGGATCCGAAACCATGGTGAACAAGGTACCTTCCATAGCTGGTTTAATTGGCAAATGGAAAGTTCTATGCTTATACCATTTGATGTGTAGTGAATGGGATGCTTGTTACATTATTCTTGAATGGTGGCTGCGGAAGCTGACCTTAAAACCTTCCAGAATGGTTTCAAGATCCTTTCTATGGAGTATATGGATTGAAAGGAATAACTAGGTCTTCAACAATACATACCTCCAATTCAATAGGTTCTTTGATTGAATTTGTTATTAGCTCTTGGTTGGTGTAAATGTTAATACTCCCCTTCTTTGTCGCTACCACTACTAGCTTTCATTGTTGGCATTGACGCCCATTCACTGCCAATGTGACACTTTTTTTGTCATCAATCACCTTCTTCACCAACTAGGTAATTTTTTTAATAGTTAGAAGTATTACTATGTGATACAAATATATCGAAAAAAATAATGTGTCTTTGACATGTTTGTGTGCTACATTTTTTCAAATTGGCATGTCTGTGCTTCTTATCTTAGCATAGATATCATGGTTGGTAGTCAACCTGAGAAGAACGGCTTGAGCAAAAGGAAATTAATTCATGAGAATTGAGATATTTTAAGTTTTATGGAGTTCCAAGATTCATTCATGAAGTTTTTTGGTCTCTTCTTTTTTTGATATTCGTGTGTCCGGACTAGGTTGAACGCACCTCGACTATTCACAGACCAACCGCCTGATCCTACTACATTTAGTTGACAAGGAAACTCGTAGGATATTAAACCCTAGGTAGGTGGCCACCATGGTTTGAACTCATTCCCTCCAAGTCCTTTGCTATTTACATTGGCCCTCATTGACCACTGGAGTCATCCCATGATGGTTAGTTTTTTGGTCACTTCTGTGGTGGTCCTTGGTTGATATCGTTCTTTATTCTTACCTTCGACTGTAATGCTCCTTGTTGAGCTTTTCTTTTGTTTGTTTCGTTTTTTCCTTTCTCTCTCTCCTTTAGGAGTTTGTACCATTGAACATTTTTCTTTTCATATATCAACAAAAACTTGTTTCTTGTTCAACACAAATAGCCCCTGAGGGTTGTGGCTATTTCTCTGGCTTCCCATCGACCGACCAAACTAAAAACTAAGGATAGAGATACCAGAGAGACATGCACGAGAAAAGAGAGAAGAAATAAATTCTCAAATTGATTGATCAAAGATGAAGAATAGAGGCACTATTTATAGGTTACAAGAGGAAACAAAATCTAGGAATAACCTCCTAACTTCCCTAACAAAAACGGAGATTTATTTGCTAAATTTAAACACAAAATCTAAACAACTTCTAACTAAGTCCACATAATCTTAACTTCTAACTAATTTAACACTCCCCCTCAAGCTGGACTATACAGATTGAACAGTTTCAGCTTAATCAACAACCTTTCAAACACGGGTCTCAAGAGTCCTTTTGTTAGGATATCTGCAACTTGATCTGATGATGGAACATACATCAAATTTATAATTTTCTCTTCAATCTTCTCCTTGATAAAATGCCTGTCAACCTCAACAT